TTCCTTTTAGATGAAATATAATGGTATTTGATACCGTCACGTGTTCCCCAAGTAATGTCTCCTTTGGGTTAATATGTGTTGCACTAGGAGATCATACGGTTTATCCTTTGTGTGTACTCTCTAATGGCCCGATAGACTAGTTATTATAGATTTTACAACTGTAGCATATCACACAACAGTATGGCTCCTCCTTTGTATGTAATATCATATAGTTCACTAGGCTATTTTTAAGTGAGGCTTTATTGTAAATGTTACAGCAGTAAGGTTACTCCCTGTATTGCAATTTCACGTACTCTTGTATGTCTAACTAGATAATTTCTTCGTGAAAAGCCTTGTTGCAAATTTCATACCTTAATGACTTCTGCTTTGTATGTACTTTCATGTGCTTTACAAGAGTACCTTTCTGCAAATCTCACAACTGAATGGCTTCTCTTTTGTATGTACTCGCATGTGCTGTACTTGAGTACCTTTCTGAGAGAAGGCCTTGCTGCAAATCTCACAGCTGAATGGCTTCTCTTTTGTATGTACTCTCATGTGCTTTACTAGAGTATCTTTTTCAGAGAAGGCCTTGCTGCAAATCTCACAGCTGAATGGTTTCTCCCTTGTATGTACTCTCATGTGCCTTACTAGATCACCTTTCTGAGAGAAGGCCTTGCTGCAAATCTCACAGCTGAATGGCTTCTCCTTCGTATGTACCCTTCATGTGCTTTACTAGATGACCTTTCCGAGAGAAGGCCTTGCTGCAAATCTCACAGCTGAATGGTTTCTCCTTTGTATGTACTTGCATGTGCTTTACTAGAGTACCTTTTTCAGAGAAGGCCTTGCTGCAAATCTCACAGCTGAATGGTTTCTCCCTTGTATGTACTCTCATGTGCCTTACTAGATCACCTTTCTGAGAGAAGGCCTTGCTGCAAATCTCACAGCTGAATGGCTTCTCGTTTGTATGTATTCTCATGTGCTGTACTAGATGACCTTTCCGAGAGAAGGCCTTGCTGCAAATCTCACAGCTGAATGGCTTCTCCTTTGTATGTACTCTCATGTGCCTTACTAGATAACCTTTCTCAGAGAAGGCCTTGCTGCATATCTCACAGCTGAACGGCTTCTCCTTTTTGTGAACTCTTATATTAATGTTGATATTTCTCTTTTGTGAGAATTTCTTGCCATATACTTCACATGCAAAACGTTTCAATGTAGCTTCTACTTTTGGCTGTGTATCCTGTTTAAGACTTTCAATGTGTATCGCCTGATCACAATCTGATGAAATCTTATTCAGAGAATTCTCAGCCACAAATGGCGCTCTTAACAACACGCCATTACGATCCTCAACCAACTTACACGTGTTCTTCGCATTTGATTTATGTTTTAGTTCATCTAGATTATGAAAGAAGAGACATTTATGTTTCACTTTCTCGTCGTTCACCTCATCCCTCTCTTTATCTGCATATTCAAACGGTTCTTCTTTAATTTCAATATAAGTATCCTCGGAAATATCTTCGCTGAGCTCTTCTTTGATAATGACTCCTGTGCCATAAATTTCCTCGTCCGTGAGTGGGGCCAAAGGCATCCAGTCGGCGAGGATACTCATTGTCATCCTGTGAATGGAACGTATGCCAAGTAATAAACTATATTATCAATGTTGATAATGAAGATGATCATGAACGATTTTATATTACTTATTATAAGAATAACTATAATTACAATAAAAAGACAATTTATTTTATAACGTATTTCCACATGATTACTTACAGCAAAGAAATAATGAATAATTATGATATACATATATGTATGTAAAACATACCCTTTTCTATCTATCTACTTCTCTTTGGGTGGAACTGTTAAAAATCAGAAGTGTAACAATACTGATACCAATATTAACAATAAGAAATGCCAATGGTGAAGGTATTAAAAAAGCACCAATATCAGTAATAAAGATAATAATGCTAACATTCTTCATAATAGAAGATATTGTAAAAATACTGGTACTTATAATACAAGTAAATAATACTGGTGATGTGATATATGAACTGCAAAAGCGATTGGAAAGTATAAATATTGAATATTTCCTTCTATATAAATAACGAGGAAAGAGACACCGGTATGTATATATATGTGTGTGTGTGTGTAGATAAATCTTAATATACAAAAACAGATATTTACATGAATAAACATATTTACATATACTCATAGACTAATATATATATATATATATATATATATATATACAAATACATGCATAGTATGTATGTATATATGTGCGCACATATATAAATGTGTGTATATATTATATATATATATACAAATACATGCATAGTATGTATGTATATATGTGCGCACATATATAAATGTGTGTATATATTATATATATATATATATATATATATACACACATTTAAATACAAACACACACAAGCATACACAGACACATACACACACAAACACACGCATACACACACACATACACGCACACACACACATATTATATATATATATGCATATATAT